TGCCACTGTCCCACAGGGAGTCCCCGCAGGTGCCCCTGGGTAACGCCAGGCTGCAGCCTCGCTCTCAGGGGCACCCGGGCCTCATAACCTCCTGAGACCTCCCCTCCCCACCCGGCCTGGCTGGATCACCCCCCTGGCTCTGCCCAGGAAAGCCCTCCCTGCCTTCTCTGCCTGGCAAAGTCCCCCTCATCCCAGACACACCTCCCAGGAGGGCGGGGCCCCTGGCTGGGTTTTCCTGACACTGCTTATGTGACGTTTGGAAACTTGCGTATCGTCTGTCAGTGTTGTCAGTGTTGTGGATGTGAAGGACTTCCTTGGCATGTCTGTGCCTCCTGCTCCCAGAGAGACAGCGACTCTGTAACGGTGAGATGTGGCACATGAGAGGCAACTTCAGTGCTCTGGAGCCGGACCCCTGGAAATGGAATCACGTCTACTTGCTATGTGATCTCGGGTAAACCATTTAACCTCTCTGTGCCTCAGATTCCTCATCTGAATGGTATCTACCACATGCAGTTGTCACAGGGACTAAGTGCAGAAGGAAAGCACTTCCAGCAGCACCGGCACCCAGTGTTGTTGGCAGTCCCGTGCCTGGTGTCTGCCTCCTAGCAGGCTCTCGGTGACAGTGTGTTGGCTGAAGGAAGTCCTGGAGGCGGAGCCCTCTGCGTGGACCACACCTCTCAGGGTCCATCTGTAGAGCCTGCACTGGGATTGTCCCCGTGTTCCCTGTGGGGGAAGACAGAGGTCCCAGCTAGGAGCCCAGGGTCTGCCTCCAGCGCCCCAGCTCTTAGAGGCTGCCATGACCGGGTGTGATGGACACAGAACACAGGCCTCTGAATCACACAGAGAGTGGGGAAAATCACTTTAAATCTGTTTTTCCTAATTGTGTTATTTTAAATACTCTGGGTGGGTGCCCACATGCATAGAGACACTTGGCTGGGTCAGAGGCTCTTTCTCCCCTGAAAGTCCCCATTGTGACCCCGAACTGGCCCCGAGTGATTCCCGGAACAACAGCCCTTGTGTGAGCTCTGAAGGCCTGCTCACTCCGCCCACGGCTGGCAGTGCGAACCCTCTGCTGTCTCTTTAAGGTCAGCATAAGGAGGCCTCAAATCCCCCATTCGGGCTGCTGCTGGGGTTCTGATAAGAGGTGCTTTTTAGAGTTTGGTTCTAGAATGTCAGTGAAGCTCAGCTCCTATAAACTGGGTCCTCTCCAGGAGGAGGGCAGATCCAGTGGGACCAACTGTGAGCAGAACAGGGGGTCAGGGGACTGGTTCCCAGAGGAGGACTGTGTGTGGATGAAGCCCCTCCCAGGCCCCCCTGCCCTGCGCAGGGAAGGCCACCAGGAGAATGCCCCCAGGAGGGGCCCCAGAGCCCCAGGATGCAAGGAGGCCACAGCCACGGAAGTCACAGGCGAGAGCCTCCCACATGTCCCGGGTGGACGTGACCCACAGCTGCCTCTGCTGTGGCCCTCCCCTGATGCCACCCTCAGCATATGTTTGTGGGGACCGTGGTCTGTCCTGTCTTGCAAGCTGTGGCCATTGGTCACATCAGAGACATCAGCTTCTTCTTCATCCTTTCTCAGGCCCGGGGGGCAGTTAGCTCTTTGTCCCAGGAGCTTAAAAACCCCCAGTTACTCACCTTCTTTACAAAGCACAGCTGCAGTGGGGGGGCCTCTGGCTTTGTGGGGGCTGCAAAGTGGAACTCGGCAGCTGCCTGAACTGGCATTGTGGTGACTTTGCAGCTGAGAGCAGCCAGCCCCTTTCAATAAGGACCTGGACTCGGCCATGTGGCCTGCTGCAGACCCGGCCAGGGGTCTGGGGCTGTCCCAAATGCCCGGCCTCATCCCCCTCTGAAGCCCCTGCCCACTGGCATCAGGGCCACTACAGGGTCTCCTCTCACTGTCACTTCCTGAGAGGTCAGGGGACAGACCCGCATGAGGACTGGTCTGGACACCCTGGGTAGTAAGCGGGCACAGCGCCCCAGGGACAGAAGGAGCAGCCCTAAGTCCAGCTCCAGGTCTCCCCAGCTGAGTGAGTCTGTTTCCTCACCAGTAAAATGACGGTCGTGGCCATCTCCTGTGCCCACGGGGAGGATGACAGGAGGCTATAGAGATGGAAGGTGCTTACCTAGTGCCTTGCCCAAGGCAAGTGCTCCAAAAATGGCAGGAGGATGGTGACACAGGTGCAGATGTGGGTCCTTTGGGCTGTCGTGTTTGGGTGTTGGTGCTGCCTGACCTTTGGGCCAACTCAGGGCCACCAGGCAGGCAACATCTAAGGATTGTCCCACCTGCCCTTGGGGTGGCACAAACTATGCCTCAGAGGTTCCTCCCTGCCCAAGACCCAGAGGCAGAGAAGTGAGGCATGCTGGCCACAAGAAGCTTTGGGGACCAGACACCATCCCACACCTCCAGGGACCTATGGACCCAGAACACAGTAGGTGCTCAGTTGATGCCCATTCTCAGTGGTCTGATACCTTTTGGCTATTGCCCAGCAGGCTTCTTAAATGCCCCCTTCCCCAGCCCCTTCCTCCCAGGGCACGAGGGCTTCCAGGGGAGCAGAGCCCCAGCAGGAGGCCTGCCCATCAGCCAGCGCTTGTACTTGCAAACCCTTCCTAAGGAGCGGGATGCAGACAGAGCTGAGCAATGAGATGCATGAGCACGGGATCTGGACCAGGGTGTGTTGGGGGGGGGAGGGTGGTCTGGGTGAAGGAAAAGCAAGACCAGGGGAGGGCGTTTTTTGAGGCTGCCCATCCCAGTAACATCCAAGGTGAACAGGATGCAAATCAAGTGCCAAATGAAACTGCAAATTCCACAATGACTTGGGCTGGAGGAAGGAGAGTCACATCAGAGCATCATCTGCAAAGCCTTAGACTAATAAGGGTTTTATCCTTAAACTCATTTGCAACCGAAAAAGAGAAAACAGAGAAAGACCATATCAAAGTTTATTTAAAGAGAATGATTAAAATTTCAAAACATTGAGAAACTCTTGGGAAATTCAACTAAGCCTTTGGTTTCTTATTTTGAATGGGGGTCAAAAATGTGCCTTTAAGGCAGGGGGCCGGCCCCGACGAGTAGCAGTTAAGTGCCCGCGCTCTGCTACTGGCGGCCTGGGTTCGGATCCCGGGCTCACACAGAGGCACCGCTAGTCAAGCGATGCTGTGGCTGCGTCCCATATAAAGTGGAGGAGATGGGCACAGATGTTAGCCCAGGGCCAGTCTTCCTCAGCAAAAAGAGGAAGATTCCATGGATGTTAGCTCAGGGCTGATCTTCCTCAAAAAAAATGTGCGTCTAAAGGGTAAAAGGGCACATATGTATGGTGATGAATAAAAACTAGACTATTGTATTGGTGGTGAACACTATGCAGTCTATATAGAAGTCGAAATATAATGATGTGCACCTGAAATTTACACAATAGTATAAGCCAATATGATCTCAACGAAATAATTAACAATGAAAAAAAAAAAAATGTACCTCTGTCAGCATCATGGTGTGGCTCCCTGGAATGCGATCAGGCAGTTTTTTTTGAAAAAATGAGACTTCCTTCAATCAACACTTGATTGCACATTTTGTGAAACAAGTGACAAATTTCCTATCATTTCTTAATTTGTACTTTAATTTTTCAGGATAAAGCCCCAGTTAAACCTTTGCTTCTAATTTACTATGAAGGTTTTTACTTAAATTGTGTTTATGTGGACTCACTAAAAGTAGCCCTTTTCTGGTACAATTATCCTGGGATAACAGAGGACCTCCTGGAGATACCACTGAGACCCAAGTTAGTCATGGGTCCCCAAGGTGGATGGGAAGGAAATGTCACCCAGTGAAACCTCTGCCTGAGGCTTGAAGATTTGTCCTCATGGTCACTCCCCAGAGGTCAGCCAGCCCCTGCCCGTCCACCTCCACAGCTGGGGGCTGAAGGTTTCTGAGGCCCCTGTTCTAGTGTCCAGCTCTGGAATGTCATGGCTTCTTTGAGGGAAGGATGAAGGAGCACTTGATACCAGGAGCTGACTTTCAGGGTTCCTGACTGAGCGCCCCTTCCTTATCTCCTCTTCTTTCACCCGGACATCTCACCCCGAAACGTGGCACTTATCACTGTCACCTCACTTCCTGTCACTCTGTACTCTGGTCCCCTTCCTCTCCTCTGGAGTGGCCCAAGGAAATCCTAAAAACAGTTTATTCCCCACATCACTAACTGGAACAGAACACACAGCCCACTGCCCAGAACATTTCTGATCAGCTTCACAGAGTGAGAAGAAACTTCTGCACCTTGTTTTCTTGTGGCTTGAGGATTTTCAAATTGAGCACAGATCCCTTTGTCTTGTAGGAAAAAGAAGGGGAACCCCCAGGCTGGTATTTGGCAAGCTTCCAGAGAGGGTGAAGCCATCTGACGCCCCCAGTAGCGGGAGGGTGGGACACCGAGCGCTGGGCTCCCTGAGTGCAGTGGCTGAGCACACACAGCTGTCATCTGAACTGCCATTTGATGCCGCCTCTAGAGATTCCATCTAAACCAAAGGATTCCCCAGAAAGAAACTGAAATGATGGTGTTCCTGAGGATACTGAGGACACAAAAACAAAACCCAAGAAACACCCCACAAAAGTATTGAACATAAAGGCACTTTATAATGTAGTTCAAAGGTTTGTCATCTTCTACCACAGACATCTGCAAATATTTGTTGGGTGAGTTTTATCCTTATAACATGTAGAATATCCATGAAGACTTAAAACATGAGATGGCTACTCAAAAGAGCCTGTGGAAAATTCCAGTAGAGAGTTCTCAAGATCCGGTCCAGGGGTCAGCAGGGGATCTTTGTTTCGTGGTCTCTCAGGTCACAGTCCCCACTTCTCACCCCACCACCCCGTCACAAATAGGAAATGACCCTGAAAGACGGCTCGGTAGTTGGAGGTTAAATGCAGCAAGCCCCCAACCCCGACAGGAGGGGACGTGGGAGAGTCAACATAACACCCACGAGAAACAAAGCATTGCTTTTTTGTTTTTGGTTTCTTTTTCCCACCATTGAGAGCATTTCTGCATTCTAAAAAGTTATGCTGGAAGGCAGGCCGATCAGTTACCATCGTCTGGGTTTTCAGCTAAAGTTGCTCTATTGCTTTACGAAGACTTCCATCTGATCAAAGAAAATACAGCATGGACCACGTACAGCAAAGTGGCTACATAGGAAAACACCTGAAATCAAGATAAATGACCATTAACGGGCATGCATGGAAAGAGGACAAGGCATAGGTCATACACTGGGTCAGCCACATGCATTGCGCTCAACGCCAGACCTGGAGTGTGTGGACCGCCACTGCTTCCCATCACTCATGCCGACATCCTCTCTGGCTGAGCCCAGATGTGACCCCAGAATGCTTTCGGCACAGAGCTCCAGGTGCCCTAATGATCAACTGGACATGGAGTGCAAGGTCAACTATCTGCCATCTCACATCGTTATGCTGGTGCCACCCAATTGGAAATGGGGGCCCAAAAAAGCCCCCAGGTGAGTATCAACTGCTCTCCATGGGAAATTGTCTTCCTCCACACCGGTAAGAGCAGAGTCCACCAGCTGTGATCCCAGCGGCCTCGGTGAGGAGAATATGAACAGATGGGTTTGCTGGCTCTGGTTAAGGTCTCGAAGCTGCCTGGACATCCTCAGACCCCTCTCAGAATTTTGTTCTGGATTCTTAATTTCACAGGCACGGGCAAGGGATCCAGGCTCACAGGACTGAGGGACAGGGACAGGGAGGAGGATTTTGAGCTTTTGCAGAAAGGAGCGGGCTGACTGAGAAAGATGCTGGGAAGATCCAGTCAGCAGTTTTTGGCGCTGGGAACAAAGGCCCTGGACATATGGCAAATGGTCACTCTGTGGCCTGTCAAGCCCCTGACGTGTTGTGTCATGTGGGCACCATCTATTCAAAAGGCTTGCCTGCCCCCAAGTCCAATATCTGCACCTGTGACCTTGGCGTAGGGTCAAAAGTTTCCAGCCCAGGCACAACATTTAGGGCGGCTACACTTCCGTGACCCTTGAAAATGCCCATAAACACCAGCCGTCCCCGAGCCTGCTCTCTCCCTGCCCCACACATGGGTGAACCCTTCACCCTCATTGGCCAGAGGCAATGAGTAAGCCGAGTTATTTAATAACAAATTTAAGAGAACTCATCCGAGAACTCTGAAGGACCCTGGCTGAAAGGAGCAGTCACACATGAGTGAGCAGCCCCCGAAAAACACCTCTCCCCGTCAGGTGGGAGCAGTTTACTGTCTGAGCTGTTCCAGACCCCGTGAGAATCCTTGGGAGAGGCACCTCAGAAGTCTTCACAGGAACAGGAAACAGAGACTTATTTTCGAAGTGATGGCAAGAAATGGCACCTTGGGGACATTGACAGCCAGGGACCTGAATGGACATCCTTATGCTTTCAGAAACCCCTCTCCTTAAACGGCTGTCCTTATTGCCCAACCCTGTTAAGATCCAAAAACCTCCAGCTTCCTGCAGACATTTGCAGCTACCCTCAGTCAGCTCCCACCAATCCCAGGGATCCCTTCGGGGCAGACTCTCTGCTGCCAGCAAAGGAGGGGATAGAAGCTCAGCTTTTGAGGCAGGTCCCCATCAGGAACCACAGAGGGCGAGAGGAGGCCAGACGCTTCCAAAGGCCAGGGGTGTGTGGGAGAAGGTCTTGAGACGCCTCCCACACCCTGGACTGGCCATCCCCTAGACCACGGGAAGGGTATGTGATGGTTGGGCAGGGTCTGGGGTTAAATCCCGAGTAATCATGACTCCTTTTCCCCTGTGCACTGAGACAATTGATATTGTGATTAGAAAGGCGAGAATTCACAGTGAACTGGGCTCATATTTCTCCTTGGTGGTTTCAACCCAGTGCCCCTGCCTGCCGAGAACATTGTGATTCTTGATTCTGGCACTCCTGACTGTGCCTGGGCATGCTCATGTTTCTCCAACTCAACTAACAAACAGTGAGGATACAATCAATGGTGGACTGGATAAAGGGACGCTGGTGTAGCCATGAATGGAATACTCCACAGCAACGAGAATAAACACTGTACATCTCCACCCAACAGTGGGGATGAGCCTCACACACCTAAGGTGGAGAGAAAGAAGCCAGACATAAAAGAATACACATTATATAATTCCATTCACGTGAAGTTCAAACGCAGGCAAAACTGAATTATGCAGCTAGAAATCAGGTCTGTGGTCATCCGTGGTATGGGTGCACAGTGACAGTGGCAGGACAAGAAGGGGATTTCTGGGAGCTGTTCATGATGTTCTTTTCTTAATCCGGATGCTTGTTACACAGAGGGGTTTGCTTTATGGAAACTCATCAAGTTGTGCACTTGCATCCTTCTCACTTCTGTGGATGTGTGTTGCATTTTGATAAAAAGTAAAAGAGAAGTCAGAACACAGTGGAGCCCAGTGGTTCTCAGCTAGAGATCTGTCCAGTGGGTAAGGGCATTAATTCAGCCCATCTGGGTTGTTCCATCAAGTGCTGACCCACTAGCCACATTCCATCTACATTTCATTACCGTTGTCTGCAATAATTTTTGGAAATTATTCTCAAATGTCTTGCTGATGTCTGTTCAGAGAGAAGGCTGGGGTTGAGATAGGGGTATGTATAGGCTCTCTAGGTGAAGGGGAGATGAAACAGTCATTTGAAGGATGGCAGAGGAGGTGATTACCATCCTCCCAAGGGATGGGAGAGCAAGCTAGGGGCTGCCTGGCTGTGCTACTGTTTAGAAACCAGCCATCTTGGGAGATGAGCCAATTTGGGAGACATTCCCACACTGTGGGACATTTGAGCGGGGTGCAGGGACCACGAGGTAGCCATGTTGATGGACCTGGGGAGTAGGCTGGGAGCATAAGAGGAGCATGTGTGTTCCCCGGAGCAGGGGACAGGCCCACATGGACCAGTAGACAAGGCTTTGAGGAACTTCTGCAAAGTGGGTTTTCTCTCAGCCTCTGCTCTGTCATTTCCAAAATGGGAGGATGGCATAGCTTTGGTGCCTGTAGCTGACATCCTGTGATCTGTCATTATGTTTGACCTCCAGGTTTTCATAATTCATAAGATGACCTCTAGAAATCTGAGGAGCACTATTTCTGAAACTTTTTCTAATTTTTTAAACAATATCCATGGTTAGAAATACATTTGATATGGTGAGTTAGCATACTGGTGCATGCCCACCCATGCATAGCAGTGGAAAAAAGTTTTATGAAAAAATGCATTCTCTTCCTCCTGTCATTGGAACCCATTCCATCAAAGAGAAAATCCAGGTCATGACCTCACATGACCTCACCTACTAACTCATCTGGCCCTGCAGTTGGAGAATGTTCCTTTTAGAGCTCAGATACCTGCACACAACATGCCCCCCAGTCACACACAGTTGGCACCCCTCTTTCTTCTGCTGATGAGGCCAATGAGGTTCAAGCCCCTGTTCCACCCAGTGCTCCCTGTGAGGCCTCTGGAAGAAGCTGTTTAATATCTCTGCAGTCCTCAAGGGAAACAGACAGGAATTACGATCTCATTTCACAGATGAGCAAGTCGAGGCCCAGAGAGCACAAGGGACCTGCACAGGGAATTGGTGGAGACGTGACCTCCAGCCTCTCCTCCTCCCACAGTTTCTCAGAGCTGTGGGGCAGGAGACACTATCATGAAGAGCTGAAGGCCTAATCATAGCAGCAAACACCCATAGCTGGGGGTCTGCACATACTGGGCCCAAAAGGCCTCCCCACAGTCCCAGCCCCAGAGTCAGGGCCCGGGGATACACTGGCCACTTGATTTTCCAGCCCAGGCCTCAGTGCTCCCTGCCCAACTGTGTGATTCCACGGAAGACCACTCAGGGAGAGCCAGGAGACCCAAGTGGCCAAACTCACTGCTCCAAACTGGTGCTGAGTGTGGGTGACAGAGCACCTGGCCTGGATACCAGGCCCCACCAATTCCTGGTGATCTGGAGCAGGTTATCCATGCTCTTGGTGCCCTGGTTCTCCATCTGTGAAATGGAGATGATAACAGCGCCAACATCCCAGGGCTGTTGTGAGGGTTCAATACGATTGTTCATGGAGAGCTCAGACAGTGCCGGGCACTCAGCGCTCATGTCTCCTCACACATCTGCCCTCCGCAAAGCCCACCCAGGCACGGACCCCCGGGCTAGCCCAGGCCTGGGCAGTACAGTACTGACCAGATGATGAAGGGAGTCTTGGGCACTTCCCATCCCTTCTCTGGGGCTTTGTTTCTTGATAAATGGGGGGAAAGTCTCTTTCATTGAAAAGTTAGTGAACTAAAAAAACATTGGAGAGCTCAGGCAGCCTTCCGCTAAGACCCTCTGTCATTGGGCATTGGGAGCTATGAACAAGGGCAGGTTGACTGGGGGACTCACCACAGCAGAGATGTTTTCATGGTAATGTTTGTATGTGATGCCATTTCTCATGAAAATGGTGGTCAAAGCTTCCAGGACAGAGGCGCTGAGGTAAAACAGGGCAGCAGTACAGTGGTAGGCTGCATCCTGCAGGATCAGAAAGGGCCATGAGAGAGAAGGGGAACCCAGACATGGAGATGTGGGGCAGCTGTGGTCCCAGCAGGGCCCATCCAGTCCACCTGTCCCCACTGGAAATGGCTCAGGGTACTTTGTCATGTTCTGCTTCTTCCTTTGACTCCCCCACCCCATCCACCATCACCAGCCCCCACACCCCTCCTCACAGAGGTCATCTGCCCAGCTGAGTTTATTCTCGCTGGTTTGGGGGCCAGAGTAAGGACTTCAGTGGAGAAGGGACGCTGCTTTCCCTTGAGGGGGGATCAAGTAGGGGGCGCAGTTTGGGATTGCATAGGTAGAAATTTGTTCTGGACCTGAGGAGTGTCATCCATGGTCACAGTCCTGGTTAGGATGTGCCCTTGGTGACCAGTGCGGGTGAAAGAGGCCCAGAACATTTCCATTGTTGTTTTGTGGTTGTTCGTTTTTTGTGGGGGAGGTGGAAGGCTCCAGGTATGTTTACAAGCAAAAAGTACTAGAATGCTGTTTTGAGTAGCTGTAATTTGGAGGTGATTTCACAAGTCTAAGTAGGAGAACTTCTGAGAGTGAGAAGCCTGGCCAAATGGCCCCCACTCCCTTCCAGGGGACATAAGGGGCAGGGGTCCATGTGTAAGTTTCCCCTCTTCATGGGCCTCAAGGCAGAATTTACACAGAACAGAGACCCCAGGCCATCTCTGTCCCCCACCAAGTCCCTCTCTGGTGACCCGGCTTTAGAAGGCTGTGACTGGGAGCTGGGCAGTAAGCAGGGCCTCACACGGGCAGCCAAGGCCAGTCCCCAGGACCCTGCTCCCCTGAGATAGAACCCAGCCCTCCTGGACGATAGGAGGTGCCGACAGGCCCTGGCAGGTGCAGGTGGGATGGGAGGGGGGTTGGGCTGCTGGTTACCCATGAAAAGGCCGTCCTGCAGGAGGAAGCAGAGCAGCCCCAACGGGATCAGACAGCGACAGCCACACTCTGCCCTCACCTCCTCCTGACCTTGCTGCAGGAGCACTGGCTGCTGTGCACACTCGGAGCTGAAGGCCTGGCCAGCTCAGCCTTGGAACGCGGGTGGGAGACGTCTACAGGGCAGCCTCACCCAGCGCTGGAAAAGCCAGCCTCCCAGCGCAGAGGGTCCAATACTACCCACCCCCTCACACATCCAGGAATGTGACTCACCAGGGTGACCCAGGAAGTCTCCCCACCATGGGCGCCAATTATGTAGAGGAAGAGCAGGGCAGTGGTGCTGATGAAACAGAACACAGACACGAACATCACCCAGCCCTGGGCAAGGGGGAAGGGCACCAGGGACGAGGCGATGAGGATCCACACCAGGCCCCCAAAGACCTGCAGAGGGAAGGAGGGCAGGGGTGAGCATCAGACCAGGAGAGCCCATGCCCAGGAAGGGCCAGACCCAGAGGTCACACTGGGGCACGAGGGACAGAAAACAGGAAGGAGGCAGAGAACAGCGGTGGGCATTTTCCTCACCAAAAATGACTTTCATCCCCCAAGGCTCTAGCCTGGATCTCCAGTCTCAGTCTTTCTCAATCCTCTGCTTGCCTGCTTTTATTCACTTTTAAGTATAATTTTTTACTTTTAATTTAATAAGCACATAGATCACATTTATATGCCAGGCACTGTCCTAAGCACTTTACAAATATTAACTCAGTTAGTCCTCACACAACCTTATGAGCAAGGTACTGACCCATCTGTCAGATGGGGAAACTGAGGTACGTGGAAGTTAAGTAATTCGTCATCCCAAGAAAGGATATATGCCATCCAGTATTATCATTAGAAGGGCTAACTCTGAGATTATATCTTTCATGGCATTTTTCATATAAAAATATCCTTTCTTGTATGAAATGGTAGTGACCAGAAGATTCTTTTGGTCTTTTCTTGGCAAAATAAATTAGCCACACTATGTCACTAGCATTTTTTTTTTTTAATTGACCTCTAAATCCCAAGTCCATGAAGTGCTCTGAGTGCTGGAGTTGGGGCTGGAGAGAGGGCCCAGGTCAGCCCGGTCTCCTCGGGTGGCCGAGGATGGGCATGGGAGAAGCACTCCCCCATCATTACCCAGAAGACACCCCAGTTGACGCTCACAGGGTCAGTGAGCCCCAATCAAAGGGGAGAGTAAGGACATATGTGGGGTCATAACACCCCTCAGTGCCACAGTCCCGGTCCCCCTGTGGACAAGCACACCTCAAGCTGGGATTCTCTGCACTTCTCTCCCTTCTCCTTGTCCCTCTTAATCCCAGTGACATCAGCTCAGCCTCATCCACTGTCCCCACCCGGATAAGGACTGTGTTGGGAGTGGGCTGGGACACGGTTGGAGACGGCTTTGCAGTCAGAGGTTCCAAGGTACTGTGACCCTTGGTATCATCCTCCTGAGCATCTGGGGGCTGAGGACGGGCTGATCCCCCTGTCCTACATCCCCTGTGGTGTGAACTCAAGTGGTACGTTGTCCTCGTCTCCTGTACCTGCTGCCCACCTGCTGGGTGAGAGGTTCCACTGTCCTCACAGGTGTTCTCCGAGCCTCTTAGCTGAGAAGCATCAGGAGAGAATCACACCTGGGTAGAAAAGTCAGTGCAATGAAGAATCTGGAGTTATCAAAAGTGAGTTGGGCCTCAAGAATCAGATCTGTGCATCTCTGAGCAGATGAGTTCCTCTACTGACGAATCTGATATTGCCTGAAGGGAGGCACATGACAGAACCAGTGGGACACACTTTACGACTTATAGTAATTAGAGCAAAATCAGTTAAATACAAATCCTCTGACTGCCATAGAGTAAGATGTGTGTGTCGACCTCATCCATAGTCGCCTTTAAGATCAAACAGGTTCCTTGGCCTTTTCCATAATGGGCACTGACAAAGGGACATGAGCGTGCCGATGGCTGAGACAGACTTGGATGTAGGAGGCAGAAGAGTGTGGCATGGAGAAGAGGGAGGATTGCACGCCCATCTCGTGGTCAGAGGCAAGGGCCTGGGACACAATTCTCCTAAGTGCCCTTTGCCTGGTCAACCAGTGTCCATCAAAAGAGGACCAATCTGAGTTAGGTCTCCGTTCACGTGCTCTCAGGGAGCCCTGCGTTCTCCTATTGCAGCATTCAGCACAAGGCAGGTGTATCTGGTTAGTTACAAAATGGCACTGCCCCTGACCAGGTGAGGGAAGGGGTGAGGGTCCCCCTGCTCACGGCTGATCTGCGGTGTGGGACACAGGGAATGCCTGTCCAGCATGCGTCAGTGTCCGAGTTAGTTACCTGTCCCTCAGGGTCTCCTGTGAGAGGGCTGTGCCTAAACACGTGACTGATGGACCAAATCCCAAAGGAACAGCTGGCCTTGCACGTGGAGGGGAGCCCTCCGTTATGGAATCTCGTGTGGGACCCAGCGGGCTGGAGATGCTTGTATGAGGCCAACGGACATGGCATTGAGGGGCACTGAATGCGACATCAGGAAAACGGTTCTCTTTGTCTCTGTCTCGCAGGTTTTCTGACTAAGGCAGGGAGAAGGGCTCTGGTGGTGTCCGGTGTCTGGACCCCCCTAGAACAGGTGCTCCAAGAACGGGCAGGCAAAGGTGATCTGGAGAAGGGCAGTGTTTTTATTTTTGAGGCAGTGATAGAGTTATTTTAGAAAAAAAATTGACTGTAGAATACATAGGAGGTAAATGAATGCACAGGTGGTGCCTGGAAATGCTGAAATCTGAGAAGGCAGATCTCAGAGCCTGGTCTGCAGACTCAGCTCACTGCATCTCCTTCAGCTCGATTCCTCCCGTGTGGCTTGGTCAGAAACCAAAGGCAGGAAAAGTGAGGGGAGGTCAGAGCAGTCACCACCCTGAGTGTTGCCACGGAGTCCTGACTGTGCACTAGCGAGTGTGGCCCCAGCTCTGGGCTGAGCTTCCAGCACCCAGTGCAGAGGGAAGCTTCCAGGTCAATCCCGACTCTCCACCTGCTGTGGGCGTGTGCTCTCACAGTGTGATGAAGACTGTGTGCCAGCTCCCTAGGAATGCTCTCTCTCTCACACACACACACACACACACACACACACACACACTCTTATGCAGCTTCCCGGGGTCTATGGAAGAATCTCTGTCCACAGGAACAAAGCCCCCCTGTGCCCCATCCCAGCCCTGCCCCCTGGTACCTCAGGACCCTGTCACCCATCTGGATGGACCACTTTGCAAAAATCCTTATAAAATCATGGTGACTTTTTTCTTTGTATGGTTTATCTATAGCACTAAGTTTCATAGTAAGATGGTTGGGAGAAATTCTCTCTCTTTTAGACAGCTTTAATGAGAGATGATTCACATACTACACAGCTCACCCATTTAAAGTGACAATTCAATGGTTTTAGGATATTCACAGATGTGTGTAACCATTGTCTCCAGAGCCAATTTAGGACATTTTCATCACCTCAGAAGAAACCCTGTGCCCTTTAGCTATGGCTCCCCTCCCCTCCCATCCCTCAGGGACCACTGATCTACTTCCTGTCTCTATAGATCCCCCTGTTCTCAACTTTCACATGAGTTGAATCACATAATAAAAGGTGGACTTGGGTGACGGGCTTCTTTCATTTAGCATAACGTCTTTCAAGGTGAGAAATTCTCCCTCACGGGGATTTTTACAAAATATCTCTACCCTCACAGCACACCCCCCTGGCCATTCTCACCCACCATTTGGGGACACTGAGTGAATGTGTGTCATCTCTCTGGAGCCTCCAACAGCAAAGAGCTGAGGAACCCCTGGTGCCCAGGGACGTTCCCATAGGAAACATGTCCCCAGGCCCCATCTGTCCCAGAAACATATTTTAAGTGACACATCATGTGAAGGGAATGTCCTCAGCACAGATGAAATGATTAAACCTGGAGGGTTTGCTCCCAGGAGATGGGCAGTGGGCCTGCCCTCTCCCCCTCACAGCCCTGCCCAGCAGGTGCCCAGGGGAGAAATGCAGGGTGACCTGCACAGGGGACCATCTGGGAGGGGGGCTGAGTTGGGTGCAGAACAACCCTGAGAGAGGACGGGGGGAGAAGGAAAAAAGACGAGGCTGAGAATAGAGAGAGTCTGTTCCCCGCTAGACGTCTGTGACAGTGCCCTGGACACAGACCCCGCTGCTGTGAGAATTACAGTGCAGATGCGTGTCGGAAGGGGTAACAGCTGTGACGGCTGTGCAGGTGTGCAGGCTCCAGTCCTCCCGGGCACATGCCAGCCCCCGCAGCACCTGCACCACACAGCGTCTGCACGGGCTGGACGCACACGTGAACCCTTGAGAGGGGCTCTCAACCGAATGTGCTGGAGGAGGCTGGAGCACGTGACTCAGCCTCTTGGGCCTCGGATCCCTCATCTGTAAATGGCAATTTGCAGCTGTCTCCCCACATCGCGGGCTGGTGCAAACTGGCTGAAACTGTGGATGTGAGTGTGAAGCTTCTAGCACCGTGCCCAGCGCCACCCAACAACTGGGGTGAGACACTGCCCACCCAGGAGCCGACAGCCCGGTGGAGACAGACGCAGAGGCAGCCAGTTACAATGTAGGGTGATCTCCAGCCCCGAGGGGGCAAAGCAGCCTGGACTGGGGCACGGCCCCATCGGGTCTTGAGGGGAGAGGTGGCCGTAGCTGGTTGACCTGGCCAAAGGGTCAGGAAGGAGCTCTCCGGGGGAGGAGAGAGTACACGCTGAGTCCAGAGGAGCTGAAGCACAGTGAGGGCTCAGAAGGCCGGGGAGCTGCGCACGAGGTGGCGGACAAGGAGTGGCAGGAGATGGGGCTCGAGGGAGGGAGAGCTGGAGACAGCACTGGCCGTGGGGCCGGTGTGAAGGCCTCCGAGGCCCCGCTCAGGGGAAAGCCGGGACTCAGCGTGAATCGTGGACACAGCCCGTGTCTGCCGTGCTCCCCCACTCAGTGTGCAGAGAGCAGCAGAGCGCGGGCGCTGCGCCCACCCCAGGGAGAGAAGGCCTCCTGGGCAGGGAGCATCCACCCACCCTGGCCTCAGGACCCCACTGGACAGATATTGTCAAGAGCAAAGGGGTAGGTGAGGGTCAAGCATTTCCCTTCATACAGAAAATTCTAAGCGGCTCCCAGCTTCCAGGTGACAGATGCTCAGAGGTGACCATCTTGACAACGTCAGGCACACAGGTGGAGGCGTGGCCTCAGTTTCCCTTCATCTCTGTCTATAGTACAGGCCAGACTTCCCACTACCCCCTGCCTGCCCCTCGGTCACTGTCCTCCACACTAGAGAGGGTGCAGCTGGCTAGGGTACTCTCAGAGAAAGGTCTCTAACTTGGTGGTCTGCGGGTCACTAGGTTGGAGCTCTCTCTCTGGGCCCCAGGTCCCCAAACTGGGAAATGGGGGTGGGGCCT